CCAATGGGTTGGCGCCCTCCGGCGGGCTTTTGGTACTGCGCCGTCAGCATTTCTTGCTCGTCCGTGGGGAAGTCGCCTGCCTCCGTGAGGATGTTCAGCAGCGTTGTCAGCGGCCTGACGTCACTGAGCCATCCCAGGTGGCGTGGATGTATGCCCCCAGACTTGCAGGTCTTGGCTTTGAAAGACCTGCATGTCTTGCTGACCTGCTCTGGCTCGAGGAGGTGCTGCCGATGTTGATGGCCACCTTGCTGGATGGCCGCGGTGATCGCCTTGTGCAAGGTATGAACAACTTGATCTGGCTGATCAGGGGGGGGCGAACGTTCCATACTCGCGCCCACTCTTTCTGGTACTTATTGAGCAGCGCCACTGGGCATGCCGAGCGGTCCTGGATGCGCTCCACGGTGCCGTCTACCACCTCGGCTGCCCCTTCCCCTGGGTCTTTCGTCCACTTGTGGAGCATGGGCGCCCCGCACAGGTGGTCCTCGGCCAGCACTTCGCGCCAGCCCTTGACCTGTCGGCCATGCACCCTTCCGCTGAGCACATCTTTGCCCACACGCTCAGCCATCTTCGCGATGAGCTCGATCTCGCCAAGGACCGCGTTGGCGGTGCGCGCTGTAGGTCTTGGCGGTGGTGGTGAAGCGGGAGGCGTCGGCGAAACCCTTGCCGCACTCGCCTCGCTCCGAACGTCATCCACCTGATGGAGTGCACTCGGGACTGCGGCGTCCCCAGCCTGCCCGCAAGGGCTAGCTGGTTCTTCCACATTCCCAGCTGCATTCAATAGTTGCTTGTGCTCCTGCACGGCGAGCTGCCGCGGGTCCAGCTCGTCATCTAGCTTTGTGAACGGGTCCGCCTCTGGGTCGTTCAGGCCTCTGGTTCTCGGCAGGTCCAGGGGCTGCGCAGGGTCGGTACCTTGACGTGGGCGCTCTGGGCGACACCGGACTCCCTGGCATTCCACAGGCACGTACTCGTTGCTGTTGTAGTTGCCGAAGTCGCCCTTCGTGTGGCCTGGGTGGTGTGACTTCGAGGGGCTGAATCCCTCCCCACCCAGGCCAGACCGACCCTGGTCGTAGTAGCACTCGTCGGGTGGGCGTCTGCCCCCTGGGCCTGGCTGTTGAACGGCTCGTGCGACGGTCTCGGGGTTCGCCACGGCCCCGCTGATCAACTCACCGACTTGGTCCAAAACGGCCTGCACGATTTGGTACCAGTCATCGTAGTCGCCAAAGGTGTGGCACGCCTCGCCGAACTTGCCTGAGCGCTGCATTCCTTCACGGCAGCGTGCGATGGCACCTCGGAGGCGTTGAGCTGGGCAGCCTCGCTGATCATCGCCACCCAGGTGTGACTGGCGCTCAGGGTGGATGTGCAGGAGGCCTCGGACTTGGCGCAGCTGCCCAGAAAGCCACGTGAGTGCACGACCTGGTGTGGTCTTGCCGTTGGCCTTGGTGGCCCATATTTCGGGCAGGGTCACCTCTTTGAACTGGATGGGGCCCCCCAGAGCTGCATGGCCTTGGCGTCGCGGTCCACGATGCCTTGGAAGTCCTGGCGCGCCGTGCCGAGCCACACCTCGTGGGCCCTGTCGACCAGCGCCTGGCGGTCGGCAGGCGTCAGCTCCTGCTGGCCGTCGTGACCCGCATGCTGCTGGTAGGTCTCGTCGAGCACACGCTGCGCCGCCGTCCAGTCGGGCGGCTCCCTGCGGGGGCCCACGGGCACCGAGGTGGGCATGTGCGCGGTGCTGAGCGGCATCTTCACTTTGGGCCACTCTGCGCGCTTGCTGACACCCATGTGGACCACGTCGTGGGTGGGCAGCGCAAGCGAGGTGTTGGTGACGGGTACCTGCATGGCCAACCCAGCGCGGCCTCCTGTCACGAAGTAGTCCCTGATGTAGTGGGTCCCTCCGCTGCCGTGGCACGTCGGGTCTGGCGGCGCGTGCACCTGAATACCTGGTGCAAGGAAGCCCGCAGAACTGGCGAGCTCTTCGGGGTCCATCTTCATATCGCCTCCCATTACCCAGGGCAGGCCGTGGCGGGCCTGGTGCTCGCGCAACTTGTAGAGGATGTCGAGGTTCTGGCCCTTGAGCCCAACGTTGACCTCGAGGTAGACCGAGTACAGCGCAACCACGCCCATCCCTGGCAAACGAGCGTACCCAACACACGCTCTGCCTGGCCACTGGACCTGGTCCTGTGGGTCGTACCAGAAGTCGATGAACTTTTTGGCCAGCACGCCCACGCCGCCCTGAAAGTCCTTCACCTTGATGGTGGCTGGAGCGCATGCCATGGCCCAACCTTCGTTCCTTAACGTACGCCTGATCTCCAAGAGTCCCCCCTGAGACTGCTTGTGCTCCTGCACGAAGAGGATGCTGTCGGACACGAGCGGGGGGATGCTGCGCCCTGTGCCCCAAGAAGTGATATTTGCCGTCGCAAAACTGAGGTGAACATGTCGCTTCTCGTCCCCACACGAGCCGCCGTCCGTCCCCTCGCCGACGTCGTACCCACCCCTGCATGTGCTAAACTCGCTGCCGCTTGCGCATTCCCATGCGCTGGCGCATGTCCTCAAGAGCCCTCTTGCTGTCCTCGGAGTTGCACGCTTTGCAGATCTCGTCAAAGTCTTTGTCGCCAAGGTCCTCGCCCATCGGCGTCGGGATGTTCTCCCTGCTCTCACTCTTCCGACCGTCAGGAGGCTTCCCCTGGGAGGCGGCTGTCCACATGAGGTGCTTGGTGAGGAGCTTGGCGACCATGGCCAGAACATCAGGTCCCAGGTTCTTTGCTTCAGGTGCCATGGCCAAGAAGCGCTCCGCATCACGTTGGGCTTCGGGAGGTTGGCCTGGCTGGCCCAACGGCATGGCCCGCAGCATGGCCTGGTTGAGGCTGTTCTCGAGCTCGGTGATGTTGGCGGTGGCCTGTGCAATCGCCGCCTCCTGGTCAGCAACTGCCTTCTTCGCCTCCTCGACGAGCTTCTCTGCCTCGGTGACGTCTTGCTGCTTCTCGGTGAGCTCGTTTTGCAGCTGCACCCGCTTGGCCTTGGCGTGATCAAGCTTGGCCCCCAGCGAGCTGACCTCCGCCTGCCGCCCTCGCGCTGCAACCCGCTGCTGCTTGAGCTTTGCCAGGTCCTGCTCGAGTTGCCCCACGTCGATGCCGCCTTTGCGCAACGTAGGGATGGACTGCTCCAGACTGGCGATCTTGCCCTCGAGCTCCTGGATGGCTGGGTCCGCAGGCGGCTCAGGGGCTGGGGGGGCTGCAGCGCCTGTGTCAGGGGCGCCTCGACCGCCGCGCAGGCCGGCGGCGCCGCTGCTGCCTCCTGCCGTGAGCTTCTCCAGCGCCGCGGTGATGTTGGCCACGCCGGCCTCGAGGCGCTGGAGCCGAGGCGCATCGCCTGCGCCGCCTGCCCAGGGGGGCGGGCGGGGCTGCGACTTGGCCCTGGGCCCAGCTCCTCGCTTTGCCAGCGCCTCCTGGTGGGCATGCCTGGCCTTGCGCACCACAGGGCCTGGGGCGTCGCGCCCGCAGAAGCACACCACTCTGTTGGCCCAGAACCCTTCCTGGCGGCATCCTGGGCAGCGCCAGCGGGGCTCCTTGGGCCCCAGGAGCACCTTGCGGCCAGCAGCGTCAGCGGCGCCAGCTGGAGCAGGGGGCGGCGCCATGGCCACAGGCTGCGCCTCGTAGTGCTCGCCGTGGTGCCCAGCCAGCGCCTGGCGCGCAGCGGCCTGGCGCAGGGTGGCCCGCGCGCTGGCCTGCTTCCTCCTCAGCCTGCGGTGCCACGCGGGCGATGGCGAGCGACTATGGCGCCCGAGCGTCGGGATGGGTGCACCGCCGCCCTGGGCAGGGCGGGCGGCGTCTGGGGGTTCGCGGAAAGACGGGCCGATCCCCAAGGGCCCGCGCTCGCTTGAGCCAAAATGGCTACGGAGGGGAGCGTGATATCTTTTAACCCACGGAGTGGGAGCGCGATCTGGTGTAATTTCAAGGAGCTGGTCTTGAGAACGCGCGTTACCTTGACACCCCGGGCGCGCAAGGTCCGCCGACCGCCCCCTCCTGCTCCGTGCCCGGGGCATCGGGGAAATCCCACGACGAATCCCGAATCGGCGCCTTCGCGTGGGGCATCCTCAGAGAACCGGCTCCCCGAGCCCCCGGTTCTGTTTCCTGGGGAATCCGGCGACGAATCCCGAGCCAGCGCCCTCGCGTGGGACGGTTTCGAAAAAGTGCCCCCCGAGCTTCCCCGAAGAGGCCCCCAGAGGTCGGGGAAATCTAGGAAATCCGGCGACGAATTCCGAACTGGCGCCGTCGCGTGGGACATCCTCAGAAAACCGTTTCCCGGTGTCTCGAAGGAGGCCCTGAGGTTCCTTGGTTCAACTCCAGGGAAATCCGGAAAATCCGACGACGTATTCCAAACCAGCGTTCTCGCGCGGGGCATTCTCAAAAGGAGACAAAAGGCCACCCGAGCCTCCCCAAGGAGGCCTTCAGACGCGCGCCAGGGCGCGCCGGGGCGCACCAGTCGTGTCCCAGTCCGGGGCTTTCGCTCGAAACATCCTTCCAAAGTCTACCCCCGGCGCACGAGAAGTTCAGGCCCGCCGCGTCCCCAGGGACCATGTCCGGGGATCTGCTGGCCTGCGCCGGGGCGCGCCGGGGCGCACAGGGCGTGTCTCAGTTTGGGGTTCTCGCTCGAGGCATCCTCCCAAAGTCGACCCCCTGAGCGCGAGAAAGTCCGGCCCCACCGCGCCCCCTGGGACCATTTCGGGACATCTGCCGGCGCGCGCCTGGGCGCGCAGGGCGCGTCGGGCTCTCGCTCGAGACATCCTATCGCGAACTGTGCCAATCTGGGGCTCCCGTCGAGACCCCCGCAAAGTCGCCAAGTCGCCCCCAGAAGGAGGCCCCCGAGGACGATGACGAGGATGCGCAAGAAGGAGGACGTGGGGGGAGGGTTTTTTTGGTGCTCCTCCGATAAATGCCGAGCGTGCCAGCTGCAGGAGGGAAGCACAGGCAGGAGAGAAGGGAGGGGCGCCACCGTGCGCCCGATCAGCGGCCCTGCACGCTGAACTTCGTGGCCTCCTCCTCGGCCTGCTCTGCGCACTCCCTCGGCTGCGGCCCTGCACGCCGCCTCACGATCGAGCGCCAGGTCGCTCTGGTCCGCTCGAGCTGCACCTCCTTCTGAAGGACGTCGTCGACGACCAGTGAGTCGTCGGCGAAATGCCTGTGCCCAAACGGGCACATGTCGTTCACGAAGAAACCTTCGCCCCACATGGGCGCCGAGTGCCCCCATGTCTGCAGCCCCATGCCAATGCGGTTGGTCCTGTAGTCGACCCAGCCGTGGAGCAGGGGGTGCTTGTGCGCGCTGGCCCGTGTCATGGCCAGCGCGCGGTTGAGCGGCTGGGCGCGCGGACCAAAGCTGTCCTGCCTGGCCCAGCCCGCCGCCAGGGCGATCTCGAAAATCCACTCGTCCGCTATCTCATGTCGCGCACGCCACCATTGCCAGCCTGTGCACGGCTCGCCTGCGGTCGCCTCGTACGCATCGATGTTGGTCGCCTTGCCGTCCAAGACCACCTCGGTGTCTCTGGGGGTTGTTTGTGCGGCCCCCCACCGCGCCAGGTCCTGCAGCACGTCGCCCTTGCTCACCTCCGTCAGGTGGGTGTTAGTGGGTACTGCCCTGGTAGCCCTTGAAACTCTGCTGGCCCCCGTCGTGTAGCGGGCTGTTGTCGATGCTCACCTGCGCCCCGTCGGCCTCCAGATTGCCGCCGGCGCTCAGCTCCGTGCCGAAGGTGTCGAGCATCCTGCCCTGGCCCACGGGCTCCGCGATTTTGGGGGTTGTTTGTGCGGCCCCCCACCGCGCAAGGTCCTGCAGCACGTCGCTCTTGCTCACCTCCGTCAGGTAGGTGGGGAGGGCACTGCCCTGGTAGCCCTTGAAACTCTGCTGGCCCCCGTCGACCAGCGGGCTGTTGTCGATGCTCACCTGCGCCCCGTCGGCCTCCAGGTTGCCGTCGGCGCTCAGCTCCGTGCCGAAGGTGTTGAGCATCCTGCCCTGGCTCATGGGCTCCGCGATTTTGGGGGTTGTTTGTGCGGCCCCCCACCGCGCAAGGATCTGCAGCACGTCGCCCGAGTTCACCTCCGTCTCGTAAGCGTTCTGGGTACTGCCTTGGTTGCTCTTCGTGCTCGGCTGGTCCCCGTCGACCAGCGGGAAGTCGTTGAAGCTCACCTTCGCATGGTGCTCACCACTGCGTCGAAGGTGTCGAGCATCCTGCCCTGGTCCTCGGGCTCCGCGTCGTCGCCACGGAGAAGAGGGACGATGTGACAGCCCGCAGCGACACCATCTGCGAATGCTGCGGCTGCCCAGGCAATCGCGTCACAGTGCAGCGTGTCGGCAGCAGGGATGTGCCACACTCCAGGCTCATCTCCCTGGCCCGCGTCGACCTCCACCCAGTCCATGGGCATCGACAGCCCAAGCGAGGCGGACAGCGCGCAAGCTGCACGCTGCGCGTGGCGGATCGCCACCACCGCCGCTCTCCTTCTTCTGCGGGCCGAACGGGACGGCGAGGCCGCGCCCACCTCGCAGGGCAGTGCGGCGCAGGCGCCATCCATGTCGCGGGATGCACCGTGGCCCGCCGACGGGCTACACGGCGTCTGGGGTCAGGTCAGAAACGGGCACCGGCTTGGGCCCATGGACCTGACGCCTCGTGGGAGGAGGGGTGGTGGAGGAGGAGGAGGAGGAGGAGGAGGAGGAGGAGGAGGAGGGAAGAGCGGAGGAGGAAGAAAAGGAGGAACAGGAGGCGGAGGAGGAGGAGGGGGAGGAGGAGGAGGATCAGTGCAAACCCAAGCCTCATCAACGATGTCGGAATATAACCTCCATCCAAGCTCCCTCTTCACAGGCCGCTTACATGGATTCATATTCGCTAATTAGGGGAAGTGCCCAGTTGGGAGACAACCGTTTGAAGATCTTGAGGCGTGCCAACACACCATTATCGAAACTCCAACGCAACGAGTCAACTTGACTGTTGCGTCCTGACGGTCTTGAATCGTGACACGATTCTTGGGATTTCGACACCGCGAGTCACTGTAACTACTGTTGCGCCTTGAATGCCGAATCGCTCCAAAACACCGTCTCTGGTACGGCAGCCATGCGAATCCGTGATTTCATTATCAAGCGAGTGTGCGCGGAGCAAAGGCGAGAACCACATTTTGAAAAGAACCGCCCTCATTACATTAAGCTTTTGCACCGGTTTAAGACGAGTGTGCGCGGCGCTACGGCGAGAGCCACATTTTTGAAGCGGCCCGCCCTCAATTCGTGAAGTTCTTGAAATTGTTAAAAACGAGTTTGCACGGCGCTAAGGCGAGAGCCACATTTTTCAAGTGGCCCGCCCTCAATACATGAAACTGGTCCAGCTTTGAAGCTTCAGGATCAGAAATGGTGGGGGAATCTACGGAGAAATGTCCGGTCCGTCTTTTCGACCAGCTTCGGAGTGCGACAGGATATTCCCCAATCAGAGCTTGCCTCTGTAGGGGTCCTAGCGGATTAAAGGGTTAGGTGAGGTTTGTCGCCGATTTCGGTGGCCGGGCCCGGGTGCCCGGGTTCCTGGGTGCCCGGCGGTGCCCGGGTGCCCGGGTGGCCGGTGAGGTGCGTGGCCGATTTCGGTGGCCGGGCACGGGTGCCCGGGGGTGCGCCCCGGTGCCCGGGGGTGCCCAATAGCCCAATAGCCCAGTAGCCCTATAGCCCTATAGCCCTATAGCCCTACAGCCGTATAGCACTATGGCCCTATAGCCCTAGAGCCCTATAGCTCTAGAGCCCTATAGCCCTCCTATAGCCCTATAGCTCTATAGCCCTATAGCCCTATAGCCCTAAGGTTCTATAGCTCCTATAGCCCAATAGCCCAATAGCCCTATATCACTATACCCCTACAGCCATATATAGCCCATATAGCCACATTGCCCCAACAAAAATATGATTAGGGCTTTTCTCCGGTATCATGGAAAGGGAATTGAGGAGGAGGAGGAGGCGAAGGAGGAGGAGGAGGAGGAGGGGAGGAGGAGGGGGAGGAAGAGGAGGAGGAAGAGGAGAAGGAAGAGGAGGAGGAGAAAGGGTGGTGGAGGTGGAGGTGGAGGTGGAGGTGGAGGTGGAGGAGGAGGAGGAGGAGGAGGAGGAGGAGGAGGAGGAGGAGAAGGAAAGGGAGGAGAGTCGGAGGAGGCGGAGGAGGAGGCGGAGGAGGAACGCCCTCCAGGGACCCCACGCGATTTCCTGGGAGGATGTGGGGGAGAAGGCGGATGTTGCCAGCATGGGAGCGGGAGGGGCTGGATGCCACCGCCTCCCGCTCATTCTTCTTTATCCCACGGGCACATGCCCCTTCCTCTATGCACATCTTCCTTACGCCCAGAAGCACACGCCCCTTCTTCTGCACACAGAAACTCCCCATCAGCCCCAAAGCCGCCGGCTGGTACCAAGGCGAGCCCAGGCCTGGCTGCTCGGGAGGCAACCGCCGCCGAGGACCCCGCCAGGCGGCACGGCGTACTTGGCACCCCCGTGAGATGCGACAGCTGGGTGGCGGACTTCTTCAATGCTCCTTTGCCACCATTGCCCCGTTGCCCTTGTCTTCCTCCTCTCCTCCTGAATTGTTATGTGTCCCGCAGTTCTAGACCACCTAGATGGGGTCGGAGTAGACGAGGTTGCAGGATCGCGATGCATCGGCGATGCGAGTCGATGTGGGGCCAAATGTTCTCCACGCCGACACGCCGACGTCGCGGATGCATCGCCGATGCATTGGCGATGTGGCGCGATCCTTCAACCCCATCTACTCGGACCCCATCCAGTAGGCCTGCAGCAGTGCATCTGTCCAGACAGGCCAGAGTCTCGAGGCCACGGTCTCACCCGCCTGGCCCAAGCTGGGCCCGGGCGCGGTCCGCAACGGTGGTCGCATCGCATCGCATCGGCTGCACGACATCACCGTCACGGAAGCCCAGAGAGAGAGTCGGGCTCCATCACGGACGCCCAGGGAGCCGCATATGGCAGCGCCGCCACGGAAGCCCAGAGGGAGTCGGGCTCCACGAGCACGCACGGCTGGTCGGTTCAGAAGCTCAGCCTCGGGAGCCTGGCCTCGACGGGTCTCCCCGAGGCGCGGCGGGCACCTTCGTGCAGAGCGCCTGCCGGGGAGTGCTGGCAGCAGGACCCGTCCACACGGGAGTCTCGAGCGCACGGGTGGCCCACGGCTGCCGAGACGCACTCGGCCAGGTCGGTCCCGTGGCCTTGCTGGCCCAGGGCGGCGCGTTGGCCGCAGCCCTGCCTGGCGCCTCCCCCCTCCCCTCCCCCCTCCTCCTGCCCTTCGCCTCCCTCCGGAGGGTCCGCGTCGCGCCGACGCGGCAGCGACCCCGCCGCGGGCGTTCAAGGTGGAACGCCTCCAGCGGCCCAGAGTCGGCCAATGTGGAACCATCTGAAGATCGAAGAGCCGCCGACGCCGGGGTCGTCGCGGCACGTACCTGCCGCTCCCTTCCCTCCCCCCCCGCCGCGGGCCCGATCGGGTCGCGGGATGCAGACGCAGAGGACCGAGGAGGTGCAGAGGCTGCAGGAGCAGGGCTGCGCGGTGCTGTGCCTGGACTGCCCGGAGAGCATGCTGTTCGGCATCGACTACTCGGCCTGGTCGGTGGGCCCGCGCTTCATGGGGGTGAAGCTGGTGCTCAGAGGAGGGGGAGGAGGAGGAGGAGGAGGAGGAGGAGGAGGAGGAGGAGGAGAGGAGGAGGAGGAGGAGGAGGAGGAGGAGAGGAGCAGGAGGAGGGAGGAGGAGGAGGAGGAGGAGGAGGAGGAGGAGGAGGAGGAGGGTCGTCCTGGAGAGACCTCGTCGGCACGGCTGGGCTCTCCTCGAAAATCTGGTTTGAGGACGCACCCTGGCCGAGGTCTCGGGAGTTGTGGTGTCGCTATGTTCTTTGCCTCCCCAGGTGCCTCCAGGGCTCCACCTCCTCCACCTCCTCCTCCTCCTCCTCCTCCTCCTCCTCCTCCTCCCCAGGTGCCTCCAGGGCTCCACTACATCTACTGCAGCGCGAGCTCCGAGGAGGTGGGGCTGTCCCGCACGGGCTTCTTCCTGTGGATGCGCCCCCGCGACGTCTCCGTGTTCCGCTGGGACCCCGAGGCCGAGGAGCTGACCAGGCTGGAGAGCCCGGACGTCGGAGGGGGGAAAGCTACCCATACCTCTACCCCCTCGCCCGCTCTCCCCTGTGTGGGCCTCCTCGGTGGCCCTCCTCGCCACCGCTGGATTCGCTCCGAAATCCTGGTCAGAGCGCACCCCGGGAGAGGTCTGGGGAGCAGCGGTATCGGTGCCTTTTGTTGGTTTCCCCAGGACGAGGAGGCCCGGTACGCGGACGGGGTACGCTGCTTCGACTTCGACGCGCGCCTGGGCCCCTACCCGCTGCAGCTGTCCGAGGAGTGGGCGGAGCTCACGAGGTACGCGACCCTGCAGGTCGTCAGCAAGGTGGAGCCGGTGGCCAAGACGGTGCGCTCCAAGAGGGCCGAGTACGACGACCATCCACCGCAGGGCGGCGCCTGGGCGGAGGCGGCCCCGGCGCAGGGTGGCCGCGCAGGCGGCGACGCGGACGTCTCGATGGCCGACGGCCGGGCGGAGGGCGGAGCGCCAGCGGAGGCGCCGAGGGCGGAGGCGCGGAGGCCCCACGGGGAGCAGCTGGAGTCGAACTCCGGCGGCAGCCGCGGGGGCGGCCTGTTTTTTTCGGCCGTGCCCAGGGGTCGCAAGAGGACCGGGAAGAGCCCGGAGGAGACCACGCGCCTGCACATGGACGGCAGCACCCAGCTGGAGCAGATGATCGCTCGCGAGTACGGGGGGGACGAGCTCGGCATCCTGGGGGAGCTCCAGCTGGCGTATATCGCGTTCCTTCTCGGGCAGAACTGCGACGGCTTCGACCAGTGGAGGGCGTTGCTGCAGCTGCTGTGCAGCTGCGAGTCTGCCGTGGCGACCCGCCCCACCCTCTTCGGTGAGCTCTGCCGCGCCTTCTTTGCCCAGCTGAGCCAGGCGCCGTCGGACCTGTTCGGCGTCGACCTCACGAGGGACAACTTCATGGGCGCCTGCGCGCTGCAGCTTCTGGAGGTGTGCGACACGGACGCGTCACCGCCCAAGCTGCGCAAGCGCTGCGAGAAGCTGCGCGAGCTGGTGCAGCAGAAGTTCGGCATCTCGACCGAGGATCTGGCCCTCCTCGGTGAGGACGCCCCCCAGGTGGTGGACGAGGGCGGCCGGGACCTGATCCAGATCGGAAGCCCAGATCTCCGCGAGATGGACTAGAGCATCCTGGGCAGGCGTGGTGACCGGCGCACGCGCGCCCGAGGAGCCTCCCCTTGCGCAGGCACTACGGTGCGGGAGCGCTCGTGCGTGGCGCGTGGCCGAAAAGCGCCCGCGTGCCAAGCGATGCCCAGCACCGCCAAGCAGAGCCGAGCACCCAGCAGGGCCAGGCAGCGCCAGGCAGTGCCAAGCAAGGCAGATCGATGCAGGGCAGCGCCAATTAATGCCAAGCAGCGCCAAGCAGTGCCAATGCCAAGCAATGCCAAGCAAAAGCACTGGCCCCAACGTCGAGTTTCTCATTTGCCCTGAATTCTGCCCTATCCGCCGACGGGAGTGCCAAAGAGGACCGTGGGCACCAACACGAGCTGATCGTGTAATGCGGAATCAGAAGGGGGCGTAGTATATTGGAGAAGTGGGAGGAGGAGGAGGAGGAGGAGGAGGAGGAGGAGGAGGAGGAGGAGGGGGAACCAGCCGTGCCCATCTCGGCCCAGGCCGCTCTGCTGGCGCGCCTCCCGCGCCCTGCGAGCGGCAGCGGCCCGAAGTTAGGCCTGCGGGGGCGCGGCCCTCGCCATCCCCGCTCTGGCGCTGCCAGAGGTGGTCCTCCTCCCGTCACTCCCCTCACTTTGGCGCACCCCTCACACGTTTCGTGGGCCCATAGGGATCCACCGAAGGCCCCAGTGGCATGGTTCGCATGCCGTTCCCCCTCCGCTTTGGCACACCCCTCACACGCTTCGTGGCCCCATTGGGAGCTCCACCGCCATCTCCGCTCGGGAGGTGCTGGAGGTTGTCCTGGCTCGCGTCGTGAAACAATCGCGACGGGAGGTTTTTTGGCACTGGTCGACCTCCTCCTCTTCCCCCATCTCCTCCTCCTCCTCCTCCTCCTCCTCCTCCGACTCCGACTCCGACTCCGACTCCGACTCCGACTCCGACTCCGACGACTCCGGACTCTCCTCCTCCTCCTCCTCCTCCTCCTCCTCCTCCTCCTCCTCCTCCTCCTCCTCCTCCTCCTCCTCCTCCTCCTCCTCCTCCTCCCCTTCTCCTGCGAGGAGCCTCCAGGGGCCCTTGCTGGGCCTTTGCGCCATGTTTGAGCCCCCGCGTTTACCCCTGGGCCTCGCCAGGGCCGCTCTGAAGGCCATGTGGTCTCCCCTGGAGTCCTGGGGACACCTTCCCCGAGATCCGATCTCGAGCGGGATCGATCCTTGAGGGTCCCCTGGGCCCGAGGCGGAGCGAACCGCGCGGTGCGAAACAGTTGAGGCGCCTTGATCTCAGACCCAAGACGTCTTCATTTGTGTTCATACAGTGGAAGCCCATGCCAAGAAACACCCTGCTTGCCTCCAGGGCGCCCTGGGTGATGGTTTTGCTGTGGAAAGCGTGACGTCCTGGGGTCCAGGGTTGGGTTCCTTATGGAAGGCTTTTTGTGGTCGAGCTCCTACTGTATCCAATGGTTCCTCCGCAGAGGAGGAGGAGGAGGAGGAGGAGGAGGGAGGAGGAGGAGGAGGAGGAGGGGGAGGAGGAGGAGGAGGAGGAGGCGGAGGAGGAGGAGAAGGAGGAGGAGGAGGAGGATGGAGGAGGAGGAGGAGGAGGAGTGGAGGAGGAGGAGGAGGAGGAGGAGGAGGAGGAGGAGGAGGAGGAGGAGGAGGAGGAGGAGGAGGAGGAGGAGGCAGCGCGGACCCCCAGAGACGTCTCGACCCCTTGCCCCCGGGGCCCGCTTCTCGGCCCGAGGCCTTTGTGGACGGTGCCCCCCAGAGGCCGGGTACGGGCCCCGAGGGAGGAGTAGGAGGAGGAGGAGGAGGAGGAGGAGGAGGAGGAGGAGGAGGAGGAGGAGGAGGACGAGGAGGAGGACGAGGAGGAGGAGGAGGAGGAGGAGGAGGAGGAGGAGGGGGCCGAGAACGACACCAAATCGTCCGTCGCGGTTTGCTCGTGGCCCGCCAGTTCTGCCCCACCACGCTTCGGCGCGGCACGCTATCCACGTCCCCATATCCAAGCGCCCATCCCTGAGATCCTGGCGCTGGAGTTTTTTCACCACGGGCGTGTTCGCTCAATCTCGGGCCCCGGGACCCTCACAGATCGATCCGGCTCGAGCAATGCCGCTTCTCGAATAAGATACAACGCCAGAAACATAAACTGTTTGCGCTCCGCGCGGATCCGCGCTGGGCCCCCCTGGCGGCGCCAGGGAGGCACAGCGCAGATCCAAGACATCCGCGTGGACCGCCGAAAGTTTATGTCAATGCCGCTTTTTCTTCCGCCAGCTTCGGCGCGGCACGCTATCCACGCCCCCCTTTCCAAGCGCCAAGGTCCCGAGCCTCCCCGAGCCTCCCGCCCTGCGGAGCGGCGCGACACGCTCCCTGCTCACAACCTTGAGATCCGACGTATCGAAAAAAAAAACGTTGTAGCATCGTGAGAAAACATGGCTGGAGCCCCGGTGCGCCATTTTTCGAGCCGGATCGATCTGTGAGGGTCCCTCGAAGGAGAAACAATGGAATACACATAGATGTTCGACGCTCCGCGCGGATTTCTTGGATCGGCGCTGGACCCCCCCTGGCGGCGCCTCTGGCGCCGCCCCTGGCGCGCTCCGCGCGCCAGGAAGGGGGGTCCCAGCGCAGATCCAAGAAATCCGCGCGGAGCGCCACAAGTTTTATGTTTACAGCTCCCGGCCGTAAGACGCCAGGGCCTCTGGGCTCGGCCAGGGTCAAGGGAGGGAAAAGCACCCGGACCCGACAATGGACGTTGACTAAACGGCCCTGGACGTTTACCGAACAGCCCTGCCCTGTTCGATTCCTTCTTGGGCGCGTTTACCAAACGACTTCGAGTGTCGGGGTGATTAGTATGGGGCTGGATGTCTTTACCTCTACAGGGACGCCTCTGGCGGCGCCCGGCCCGCCCGTGCTGCCGGCGGGACCGTGGCAGCCGCGCCACCGCGATGCCCGGCGGGGCCGAGCTGGCGGCCGCGATGCGCGGCGTGGAGGCTCGCCATGGGTCTAGGCTTTTTTAAGTAGGAGGAATATGCAAAAATAGTAAAAAAATAGTCCGGGGAAGATTTTGGGACTATTTTGGATCATTGGGGGGGTATCTTTTGACTATCTTTTTGATTTTTCATTGAAAGTCCGCCTGTAGGAGGACATGCCCGACCTATGTCTAGGCCTCCCAGATGGGATCGGCGTAGATGGGGTCGGAGGATCGCGCCGCATCGCCGATGCATCGCCGATGCATTGGGCGATGCGGCTCGACGTGGGGCTCAATTTTCTCCACCCCGACGCCGCCAGCGCATCGCCGATGCATCGGTGATGCATCGCCGATGTATCGGCGATGCGGCGAGATTCTCCGACCCCATCTACTCGGACCCCATCCAGGAGGCCTCTGATGGGGGAAACGGGTCCCGAGAGAACCAGCCCTGGGGTTTGCGTTGCTTGTCTCTTTCGGTCTGGCGATCGCAAACATGGATTTAGGGGGTGTGGATTCGCGACGGGTCCCGTTTCCATGGGAAATCGCGGACTTCCGCCGCCGAACGAGGCGGCACCGGCCGCATTTTGGGGAGGGCACCTCCCCCGATCCATGGATTCGGCGGCCGCGCGCCAAATCCATGGATCGCTAATCCGTGTTTGCGCTCCTCCGATTCGGGCCCCCGGGGCTCTGCACGGGCCCCGGTGTCCAGGGCCCGTTTCTTTCGGGACCCGTTCCTGCCCCTTGTTGGAGTCCCAGGCCCCCGTCTGCCTCTCGAGCCTCACGCCGATGGAGGCGCGGGCCGCCACCGCAGTCGACCGTCGTCGACGACGACGACGCCGCCGCCGCCGCCGACGACGACGACGACGACTACGACGACGACGAGGGCAACGACGAGGGCGAGGGTGGCGGCGGCGGCGGCGACGGCGGCGGCGACGACGACGACGACGACGACGACGGCGTGGGCGGCGGCGGCGGCGACGGCGACGGCGGCTCGCGCCGATCGAAACGCACGAAGCTGTTCGCGGCTCGCGGCTGGCAATTCGTGGCTCCTTCTCCTCCTCGTCCTCCTCGTCATCGTCCACCTCGTCCTCCTCGTCCTCCTCGTGCTCATCCTCTTAGCCCTCCTCGTCCTCGTCCTCCCCGTCCTCCTCGACCTCCTCGTCCTCCTCGTCCTCGTCGTCGTCGTCGTCTTCGTCGTCGTCCTCCTCCTCCTCCTCCTCTTTCTCGTCCTCCCCGTACTCCTTGTCCACCGCGTCCTCCTCGTCCTCCTCCTCTTCGTCTTCCTCGTCCTCGTCCTGGTTCGCCAGGTGGTCGCAGAACGAGGACGAGGAGCCGCGGCTCGCGGTTCGCGACTCCCCGCACTCACTCTGCGACCGCCTGCGAACCCTGCCCCCTGCGGCTCCACTCCACGCTGGGGTGTCGGACGCCTCCGCCGGGGTGCACCTGGCCGCATGCCTCCTTCCAGATGCCGGGCCCCGGCCGGTCCTTCGGAAGTCTGAGCTGCAGGGGTGGGCCTCACAGATGGCTGCCTACTCTCAGGAGGGAAAGAAACACACAGACACAGTGAATCGGCGATATCCCAGAAAATATGGGAAAATATGGGAAGTGGGGGGAAGACGAGAACCCAGAGAATATTGAAAAATATAGGGGATCCTTTTATTTGTGTGTATTTATTTGTGTGTCCCAGGGCCCCTTCATACTCATCCTCCTCGTCCTCCTATTCTCTCCCCCGGGGAGGGCTGCGAGAGAGCGCAAAGTTGCTCGCGCGTCGCGCAGCGCGAAGCGCGAGCACGGCTGCCCGTGGAAAGCGTAGAGGAGGGGTTCTCTCCGCGTCGGCTCCCCTCAGAGGTTCTCGCAGGTTCCCTCGTATCGGGGGTCCTCATTGCCCGTTCTCGGAGGATCTCGGGGGAGGAAGGACCTTCAAGAGGGTTGAGGGTTCGAGGTTTGAGGGTTCGAGGTTTGAGGCTTGAGGGTTCGAGGTTTGAGGTTTGAGGTTCGAGGTTTGAGGGTTCGAGGTTTGAGGGTTCGAGGATCTCGGGGGAGGTTCGAGGTTTGAGGGTTTTTGTGCGTTCAAGACGCTTCTCGGCGATTTTCCAGCCTCGGGATTCTCTCCATGCAGCTGCTCCTCGTCCAGAGCTCTCTGTTTGGTGCCCGCATCGTCTCGAACGGCCGCCAGAGACCAGAGCTCTCTCTCTTTCCTTTCCTCCCCCTGCTTGGCTCCCCGCCGTCCCCCCGTCCTTCCGTCTGTCGACCCTGTCTGTCCTTTCCTGCCGTGTTCCTCCCTCTCCCCCCCCCCTCTCTCGCTCCTCGTCTCCTCGCTCTCCTGCCCGTTTTTGCCCCTTGCCTGGCCCGCTTTCCTTTGGCGGCCCGTCCCGCGGTCCGAATAAGAGCTGCGGTAGCCTGGCGTTTGCTGACCAGAGGTTGACGGACGCTCGCACCTCCCTAGGTAGACCAGAGCTCTGACCCGAAATCCAAACGACGAGGGCCATGCTGGTCGGACGAAGGGTGGGATCGAGACCGGGGGTTGGCGAAATGTGCTGCAGGCAACCAGTTGTGGCCCTGCCTCCAGGCGCTTTCCTCGACATATTAGTGACTCCAGCGCCAAGAGGCGCCGGAGCGCTATCTCTGCGAGCTGATTTCGGGAGCCGTGAGACGGGGGTCAATACAAACGGGGGTCAGCCAGAGCGCCCAATGTTGCAGGATCCTGCAGGGCCAGGGTCGCATTGACCCGGGTCTGGGTCCAGGATCCTGCCCGATCTTGCAGTATCCTTTGTTGCGTTGACCCTGGTTTGGGTGCAGGATCTTGCAGGATCTTGCAAGGCCCGACTGACCCAGGTCTGGATTGACCCGGGTCAGAAGATCCCCGATGATTCGCTAACTCCCTCAACTGCCCCCTCCCCCGTCTGTCCGGCCCGAGAGGTGTTCCCGAGGAGCCACTCATCGCCGCCACCTCGGACGAGGAACTGCCGCAACAAGATCGTGGCGTCGCGGGCGCACCCCGCTGGCACGCCCGACTGGGACGCGAGGTCCTCGAAGAGGGGAAAACGGCATGGACATGACCTTACGGAGGTCCTGGGCCCAGGATGGAGGAGGAGGAGGAGGAGGAGGAGGAGGAGGAGGAGGAGGAGGAGGAGGAGGAGGAGGAGGAGAAGGGTCATGACGATGACGGCGGAGGAACAACATTCGTCGCAAACGTAAACGTCGGGATATCAGCGCGCATGCTTGGATCGACGAGGGGCCCCTCGCCCCCTCACCCCTGCCGCGCGGAGCGCGCCAGTGGCGGCGCCAGGTGTGGGGGGGGTCCGCGCTGATGCGCCGAGAAGGGGACGGGGTCTGGCGCCGATAAAAAAAGACACCCGCGCGGACCCCAGAAGGGTGATGCTCGTGTCGTGCCCTGTTCCTCTAGAGGTCCGTGGCCAGCCGAGAGGAGGGCCGGGAGCTGCGCCTGATGCTGCGGCAGGACGTGCGCGACTCCCTGCAGCAGGCGATCGACCCCCTCGAGAGGGAGCTGAAGCTGCTGCGCCAGGATCGGAGGGCGCCAGGTGCCCGTCCGCACCAGTCGTGGCCAGGCCCATGCTGCGTCCAGGATCGGTGTGTGTGTGTAGCCAAGACGCTGGAGTATGAAGCCCACGCGGGCTGGCAGATATCCACATCCACCGCTCCCCGAGCCCTCGGAACACAACCCAGCGGCAGAGGATATGGTCATATTCTGACGGCGCAGTTTGTGGCCCAGGCAAGCCGTGGCCAAAAGAGCTCCTGCGTTCCTCAGAATGCGATCCTTTTGGAAGCACGGGGACTAGGGGCCCTCGTGGCCTGGCCAAGGAGAGAGGAGGAGGAGGAGGAGGAGGAGGAGGAGGAGAGGAGAGGAGGGGAGGAGGAGGAGGAGGAGGAGGAAACGAGAACGAGAACGAGAACGAGAGCGAGCGAGGAGGGAGGAGGAGGAGGAGGAGGCGGAGGAGGAGGAGGCGGAGGAGGCGGAGGAGGAGGAGGAGGAGGAGGAGGAGGAGCGGGGAGGAGGAGGAGGAGGAGGAGGAGGAGGAGGAGGAGGAGGAGGAGGAGGAGGAAGAGGGGGAGGAGCGAGGAGGCGGAGGGCACGTGCACCGATCCTGGGCCCAGGATGGACCAGGCCAGGGCCGGTGCAGGCGCCCAGATCTGGCGCCCTGCCCGCAGGACGTGCAGCAGTGGCACGCTCGGGCGCTCGCGGCCCAGGAACGCGCCGCCGCGGGGCACGGCGGGGGAGGCGCCCAGGACACGCCCTGCGCCTGCGCTGCGGATCCGGACTCCCACATGCTCGCCGCCACGGCGCATCGACGAAGGAAGCACGTCATACACACAAACTTTTTTGGCGCTCCGCGCGGATTTCTCGGATTTGCGCCAGCCCCCCCCCCCCTGGCGGCGCCTCCGGCGCCGCCCCTGGCGCGCTCCGCGCGCCAGGGAGGGGGGGGTCCCAGCGCAGGTCCAAGAAATCCGCGCGGAGCGCCAACAGTTTATGTGTTCATGGCGTTTTTTCTCCTTCCAGCTCAAAAGTCGCTGAAGTCGCGCGGCTCGCTGGTCGAGTCCGAGCAGGAAAAGGCGTCGGGGCTGTCATCGCAGGGCGCCGCAGCGATCACCCAGGAGGCGCCCGACGCCGAGAGAGACATCGGCGAGAGCAGCTTCGCCGAGAGCAGCCTCGTCGCCGAGAGCAGCCTTGTCAAGTGGGAGTACGAGAGGTACGACTTGGATAACGGGGGTCCCCGCTGGGTGCGGTACTCTCCTGGTCAGGCGATGCGGATCGAGAAAGCGTGGCAGGGGGGCGCCTCGCGCGTGAGGCTGCGCAGCTCAGGGGATACCAAGTCGCCAGTGGAGATTTTCCTTGTCGACATGCTGCAGCTCGACCCAGTGTCTGGGCGCACGAGGAAAGTGCGCCGCGAGGGCCAGGTGTCGTGGTGGGCTGGGCTGAGGCGAACCATTCATGCAATCCGCAAACAGATGCAGACAGGAGAGCCGCGCTTTGAGACGATGGAGAACTACAAGCTGCGCCAAGAGGCGGTTGTGGGCGCCAGTGTGCAAACGATGAGGCACCGGATCAAGCGCATGGACACAGTGGCCTTCATGCAGAGAGCCAAGTCCATCCAGGACAACCCTTTCGCATATTACACCCTCAAGATGGTGTCGAGTGAGCCGTTTGCCGTGATATCGATGATCATCACCCTATGGCAGGCTGTTTGGATCGCCATCGACGTGGACAAAAACGAGGGCGTGCAGCTGTTCGATAAGCCTTTCTGGGACATCTTCGTGGAGTATCTCTTCTTCACCTATCCGGAGCGCTTTGCGCTCACCGCCCGCGCACGGCGCTTTCCTTATAGCAGTGGGCGGAATGGCCAAGCTTGCCCTAGCACCTCCATAAAACAGGCCCCGAACACGCCGAAAAAGATTGACGGAATGTCCTCAGAGACAGAGAGGGAGGAATTGTTGACGCTTCGCGAATCCCCACCTGCCCATCCAGAAACGATGCCCAGAGGAATTGCCTCGATCAGGGAAGTGGGCAGCACACGGAGCAAGCCATTATGAGACATCTTGGGTTATCTTGAGCCATCTTGGAGGTCATTGTGGGCTCTCCCAGGCGCTCTTGGAGTCATCTTAATCAGTGCCCGTTGTTGTTGATGATGTTGTTGTTGCTCTTGTTATTATTGTAGATGGCCTGCGACATAATATGAGCATTCGTGGTAGCTGCAGGAGTATTGTGTATACGAGGAGTTCGCAGCATGATTAATTGGTATCGGTCAGGCGAAGGAGCAGTAGCAACGGTAGGGGCCATGGGGTGGACTGCTGAACCCCTGCAGACAGCTGCCTCCGGTCTTCTGCCGCAAGTGTATCCTTTTGGCCCGCGAGTCAGGTGTCGTTCAGGAGCGGAAAAAGGACGTACATGTACATGAATCCACGCTGGTTTCGAGAGTTCACATTGCGCAAATGTTTGTATAACGCGGCCGGTCTCGCGGATCGAGGGGCCGTGTTCATGTACATAGCTGGGCGCGTACGTCCTTTGTGGGCTCCCGTGTGGCTCTCTTGCTTCACCCGTGCACGCTCTTTCCGCTCCCGCGCCGGGCCGGGTCCAGCGTGCGTGCCCCGGAGCCCCCGGGCCGGCGAATTTCTTGATCGAGCTGATCTTGCGATGGATCGTTTCAGCCTCTCTGACGGACTGCTTAAATAGCAGGTCGTTCCTGTTTGACGCCGTGTGCGTGTTTGGGTCGATGCTCGAGGTGATCCTGATACCGGCGCTGAACGCCGCTTTCAACAACGTCATCGCGGATTGGGGTGGTCGGAGGGGGCTAGGACGAGGATAAATCCGTTCCAGGGCGTTCCGGAACGCTCCGAGCGTTCCAAAACGCTCTGAGAAGGCAGCGGCGCCCGAGACACCTTCGAGGACCGTCGGACTTCAGAGATTCTCGATTTGTCCTCCCCCGAATTTGTCCTCGTCCTGGCTTCGCCTCAGGTGGTTTCGGTGCCCTGCGCATGCTGCGCCTCGCCAAGGTCATCAGGATCTGCCGCGTCTTCGGCGCCTCCTCGGACGCCGGGCCGTTCTTCAAGGGGCTGCTGTCGGGTCTGCGCTCCGCGGCCTTCATCTGGGCCATTCTCCTCGCCATGCTCTTCGTCTTCGGTGTTCTGCTGAGGCTCGGCGGCCAGCCGGGGGGGGAGGGGGAAGGAGAGAGAAGGGGGGAAAAGGGGGGGGGAACCCTGACTCCGGATCCGCCCTACTTTGGGGAAATTCGTAAGTAGGACTTGGAATTTCCGCCTTACTTTTCAAGCCCCGCCGATGCCAATTTCCGCCCTACCTTTTCGGCTTCTTACAGGTGGAGTTCCGACGCAATTCGAAGTTGGGGAGACAAAAAGCCAAGGTAGGGCGGATCTGGAGCCAGGGAAGGGGGGAAGTGAGAAGGGGGGGACGGGGGAAGACTCGGGAGTCTCGGGTTCGAGGCCCGAGCCGTCGGCTTCCGGAGGTTCTCCACCCTCCGGGTGCGCTCCAGCAGCTGCGCCTCCCCGAGGGCGCTCCGGGGGTGCCCGGATCGCCCCGAGCGGCCACCGGAGAGCGGGGCTGTGGCCGAACAGCCACGCAGGCGTCCGAGAGGGCCTTCTCAGAAGGCTCGGGGCTCCCCCTGGCCCTCTGAGAAGCTCTCGAAGCCTTCCCCGAAGACGCAGGGAGCTTCCCAGAAGGCGCGAGTGATGCCGAGAAGTCCCGCCGCCTTCTGGGGGCGCCGTTTCCTTCTAACTTCCCCTCCGTCGCTCGCCGCCAAGAGGCTGAACGCGGACGAGAATGTGGCGCTGGAGTACTTCCCGAGTGTGCCTGTAGCCATGGTGACGCTTGTGTCGAGGGGCATTTTTGCGGACAATATCGGAGCAGTGATCGACAGCATGATTCTCCACAGGGATGCGACGAGCCTGGTCCTTTTTTTGATATTCGTCTTCCTGGCGCTCTTTAACATGCTGAACATGCTCAGCCATTTGCGCTACCGCGCGATGCCGCCACCCCAGGGCGGGCGCTTGGAGGGGTCGGGGCATCTTAGGCTCGATGCGTCGGGCGGCTCTAATTAATTAGTGCGTCGCAAGAAGAGACCTAACGAACACAGGAAAGGCCCGACACACACACACACATTCACACACACACACACACACACACACGCACGCACGCACGCACGCACGCACGCACGCACGCACGCACGCGCACGCGCACGCGCACGCGCAGGCGCACGCGCACACGCACACGCACACGCACACGCACACGCACACGCACACGCACAAACACACCCACACACCACACACAAACACACACACACACAAACACACACACACACACACGCAGCACGCACACACACACACACACACACACACACACACACACACACACACACACACACACACACACACACACACACACACGCACGCACGCACGCACGCACGCGCACGCGCACGCGCACGCGCACGCGCACGCGCACGCGCACGCGCACGCGCACGCGCACGCGCTCGCTCACGCGCACGCGCACGCGCACACGCACACGCACACGCACACGCACACGCACACGCACACGCACACGCACACGCACACGCACACGCACACGCACACGCACACGCACACGCACACGCACACGCACACGCACACACACACACACACATACGCACACACACACACACACAAACACACACGCACACGCACACGCACACGCACACACACACACACACATTCACACGCACAGAAACCGCTGCAAGCGCGGTGGCGGATGGGAACCTTCTGTTCTGTCGCGGGGGAGGTATCTTCGGCCGAGAGGGATTCTGCACAGATCGATTACTTGCGCGGCCACCTCGCCAGCATCGTGGATTGCTACATTCAAGAAGAGGGAATGATCGGCTACAGAGATTTTCAGCTCATCATCAAGAATGCCGATGTCCACCGGACCCTTACGATGAGCGGCACCGACATGGATGAGCTGAAGTCTTTGGAGAAGCTGGTGTTCAACCAGCGGGGCGAGATTAGCTTCGACGCCTTCTTCCAGGCGATTGCGCACATGCGCAGAGGAAAGACCGCCACCGTCAGGAGGGGGAGGAGAAGGAGGAGGAGGAGGAGGAGGAGGAGGAGGAGGAGGA